ATGATTTATAGATCTATATTTAAATGAGTGGAATATGAGAACCTTGTAATGAAAAATCTGCAAAAAAACAAAATAAATCAGTGAGAAAACATGAAATAACAATAAATTGATATAAAGTTTGGTGTTTTTAAGTTCAAAGATATTAGAGAGAGATTGGAGAGTTTCAGAATGAGAAACATTACATTTTTATTGTAGCCATTTGAAAGGAAGAGAGATAATGTATAAACATTCTTTATATAAGGAGACAAAAGTTCTAATAAGATCAAATATCAATTCAGAAGACTTTTAAGTAACTCTTCTAATAGAAGATTTCTTAAAAGACTTACTTGAAAGTCTTGAAGACTTACTTGAAAATCTTATAGAATTTATTATTCGTCCAGAAGACTTAATTTAATATCTTAAGCGGGAAAGTATAATATTTTCAGAAAAAAACTAAAATATTTTTAGTAGGAGTTAGAAAACTTTCAAAAAAGTATTCTAACCTATAATATTAATCGCTAGAAGACTTCCTAGAAGCTGTCTAGACCGAAATATAAACCATAAACTCAAATAACTAACTATAGAAACAAACACTTCATTAAACTTAAAAAAATGTTTAATATACACAAAACTAAACACATATAGGTCAAATTTAATTTTTCAAAAAAAAATTTAATCCTCCAAAATCTAACCATAAAAATACATATAACACTACAACATATATTGTCAAACCCTAACCAAAGTATACCATGACTCACTACTTTCACTTATATATGTTGAAAACAATTCAATTTTATTATATCTTAATTTATATCACTTACAGTTGATTATAATTACATAATTTCAGTTTTTCTCCTATCAAAACTTTTTTTGATTAAATTTATAAATTATTTTCAAAATCAACTATATGAGAAGACTTCCTTAGATGTCTTTTAGAAGACTAAAAAGACTTTTCAGGGGTATAATCGTAAAAATAAATTCAATTTTTTGTTTGTTTATAAGAGACTAGTAGTAACTCCATAAGACTTTTGGGTTTGTTTTGCATTTGCTTGATGTCTAGACATATTTTTACATTTTAATCAAGTTTTGATTCAAATTTGAAAATTTTCTCTAATATTTAATGTTTAGTTCTTTATCAAAATATCAGATGAATATTAGACTAGATTGATACGTTAATACTTACTGGTTTCAAAAAATTAAATACCAGCTCTTAGAAGTTTACTTGAACCATTATTAATTTGTTACTACTACATGACAGAAAATAGAAAAAAAATAATGAATAAATCAATTTTCCAAAATAAAATATGCATATGTTGTCAAAATAAAATAAAAATGAAAATCCAAGAAAAATCACAATATAGAAAAGAAAACACTTGAATTAAGAAGTTAATAATATGTTGTTGTGTGGCCTGAAGCTCTTGCTTCATTAGCCTTATGGGAGGCACCGCCCTGAACATATCCAAATGCAAGTTTCAAAACATGAATATCTAAAAAAAAAAATTGGGATATTTTTAGCAAGGTTTTCAACATTTGAAATACCTAATCTACTATTATGGTTATGTTTTTCTTAGATATCCATGTTTTTTTTGGTGTAATTTGATATCCATGATGCGAACTTTAGAACAGTTCCATTAGCTATAAGGACTTTCCAACATACGTATCTCATAAAAAAATAAAAAGAAAAAACTATTATTTTCTGTGGATATTCCAGTTGAGGAATTCATACAAAATATCTAAAATGAGAAATTTATAATATTTTGGGTGAGTTTATCAACAAATAAGATACTCATTCAATTAAAAAAAATTAATTAACTGAAACATCTATGTTGGGAAATCTCACAAAGAAGATGCTCTTACAATAAGGTTACGTTGCTCTATGATCTACTGTTAACTCTATGGAATTATTGTAGTCTAGTGGTCAAAGTTCAAAGGTTTTTACATTCAGATCTAGGGTTCGGATTTCAGATTACAAAATTTGTATATCAGAAAATCTGGGTTTCAATTACCAGAAAAGACAAATTATGCAATAAATTAGAAAAAAAAGTTTACAAGAAATTGATGCAGTCGTACGTGAATCCACATATGACAGATAGAACTTTTGGCTGTAATATCATCTATGTAATGTTTTCGAAAATCATAATTTGTAATAGCATAATTAACGAGAAAAAAATAAAATCTACTACTAACTATCTCATTTAAAAAATATTAAGTACAGTGCTACTTATTAGTATTATTATACATGTGTTTGTTACCATAACATCTAATCTATTAATTTAGAGTCTTGTTTAAAGTCATTGTAGGACCATTTGTTTAACATGTCTTATTTAATAATTTATATTAATCATTTAATACATAACATTTTGACAGAAAATCAGATAGAATCTTTTTTTTTCTTTCTAAAAAATAATTTATCTGTTATATATATTTTACTATTACATATAAATGTGTTTTATCACTTTAAAATGTAAAAAAATCTTGCCCATTTACCTATATTTTAGGAAATATACATGTGATGTGTTAAGAAAAAAGGTTACTTTCTTTTATATTTCATAAATATAAAATTAGAAATAATGAAAACGAATTTAAAGTGGCGGGATAATTATTTTAATTTTCATATGTATTTATAAAAATTTATGAATTTAGAAATTATTTCTCATTTAAAATTTAGTTATGTTAAAACTAAAAATAAGTATGTTATATTATATTTAAAATGATGGCTTATGTTACTTATTTATTGAAAAAAAAATTATTTTGAAAATGCGGGTCAAATGGAAAACTATATTTATTTTGAAAATCGCTTATATTTTTGGTTATAATGAAATACAATTTAAATATGAAATATGTAAATTTTTAAAATAACAAATTTTGTAAAAAATAATTATACATAATTTTAATTAATTTATATAACAAAAAATAATATAGATTTAATAATATATATATAGTTTTAAATAATATAACTAAAAATATAAAGATTTTGAAATTCTAATTATCTACACAATATTTAACTATATTATACTACTGTATATTTTCATTAAAAATAGATTACACACAACGCTAAATATATATTTGTTTTTAAAAAATCCCCAAAAAAAATTTCAAATCAAAATGACAATTTTAAATTTTATAAAGCCTAAAAATATAACTCTAATTTTTTATATATCAATGTAAATAAATAAAAATCCCGCATGATTTAAAAGAATGAAATTATCTCAAAAATTAGAAAGTTCAAAAACTAAACATATTGAAAAAGGCACACAAATCTCAAAATTGAGAAACATATGAATCTACAACAAGAACTCAAACAATCAATTTTATGATATTTTCAAAAGTTAAAAAAATATATAAGAATGAAAAATAATCCACGCATCTGCGCGGATCAAAATCTAGTTTTAGCCTTAAAGTTTACTTTCGTAATAATATTCAACTAGTTAGTGACCCACGCCCTACAGGTAACGAAATACTATAAAATGTTTATGCACTTAACTAAAATTTTGATTTTTTAAACAAATCACTTTTACATTTTAGATTTTTTCAGTTATGAGTTAACTATTATGACTTATGACCAGAAAATATATTAAAAGTATTTTAAGTCCAAGTACATGTGTTATAAGGACTTACAAATATCAATGTTTTGGGCCTTACTTAATTGATACTTGCTATTAGTTATTATTAAATATACACACAATCTTGATAAATTATTTTAATATTATCAAAGTAAGATATCAAAAAGATATGCTTTATATTACATTAAATATATTATTATATATAATTTTATTTAAAAATATATATACTATTATTTTAATATTTATTTAAAATATTGGAAATTCTTAATTAGCTTTAAAATTTATTAGAGTTGAACATTAATTTATTTTGATTTATAGAATACGAAATAACATTTCTGTAATACTTATATATAAATAATTAAATTATTACACTAAATAATATGTATATATAAATTAACTTAATCTATTTACAAACTACTTTTATAAATTAAAATAATTACATATACATAATAAAAAATATTTATACAGTTTGCAACACACTTAAATTTATTTAAGAAAAAATATTAAAGTATGATATTTAAAATACTGAATAATATTTTTATACAATATTTAAATTAGAATACTAAAATATAATTTAATTTGATAAAAATACTATACTAAATTTAGTTGACATTAATATTATTTGATTATATGGTATATTGAACTATATATTATGATTTACCATTACAATTTTTCAAATTATTTAATATAAATGGAAATATTTATCAATTATGAGACGGAATGAACTTCATATAATTAATTTGTATTATGATAAATATTTTACTCAATATTATAATAAAATATATTTTTGAAAAATATAACAATAAAATAAATTCAATTTATTAAGTACGACCAAATTAGGATATAACATACGGTTTTAGTTCTAATATGTATCGCATTTAAAAAAAGACATATATTGTTCGAATTTGAGTTATGAGAAGTTTTAATATGTCGGATATATCAGAAGTTAAATCCAAATTTTAAAAGCAAAACATTATAAATAAATACTTTTTATATAGAATTAATTTTTTAGATATCATTTAGAAATAGATATAGAATTGGATATTTGAAGTAAACATTTATGTTTCAATTATTTATATTTGTGATTAATTTGGACATAGAAATCTTTTTTTTTTGTATTTTTAAGGTTTTTTCGAGTTTCTGGATTATCCTTTCAGACTTTTCTAATAATACTTAGTTTGGATATATTTCGTACCACCATGAACGACTAATTCTATTATTTCTTAAATTTTAGATTAGACACGGATTTGGATTTTTTTGTTTAGGTTCATTTCAGATTTCAAGCTACATATTTATGTGCAAAAGTCTACTTTATATAAAGAAAAAATGCGATTATATAAAGCTACATCTAAACATTTCTATGCGCTCCGTTACAAATATGTCTTCATCATTTAAGTCTCTAAAATTTTCTCCTCCAATTTTTTCTCATCAATAAAGTCTCTAAACTCCGTTACAAAAATGTCTTCATCAGCTTCTCTAGTCTCTAACGCCGCCGTCGCCTACTCCATTCTGAGCTCTCTCCGCCTCAGAAGAACTGTTCAGTCAGTTGTTGGTCACCTCATATGCTTTTGGGATTATCGGAACATCAACAAGAATTAAGAGTTTATGAGGATAATGATTCTCCTCCTCGATGAATTGGTGCGTATTATTTCGATTCTATTTCTTTTATATTATTTTAGAACAAAGTTTTTCATTTTTTCATATATGAAAACCTCCAAATATATGATTTTCTTTTATTTTCCAGCAGGACTCTATGTTCACGGGTTCATTCCCGCTAATCGAGCCAACCACTACCAGCCATCTTTGAAAACCGGTTCTATTGTAAGATTGGGCAGGCTTGAAATTGCACGGTTCGCTCACATGCACAAGATCACAGAACATCAGTTCATCATCCGTTTCATTCCTTCAACGCATATTGTTTTCCAGATTAAGTTGCTTACAACATCAATCTTACTGACATGAATTTTCTGTCTGTGACTTAAAACCGAATTTTGTTCAATTTTCCTTACACTATTTAAGAATAATATACGAACAACTAATTCAGTTGACATTAGCCAGTTCCATATGCTAATCGTCGATAAAATCATAACGAAGATAAGGATATGAAAATATCCAACACGTATGAATTCGTCGGTCATTTTTATATCAATCTAATCAAGCTGTGTGACTTCCAATGTTTCATTCATCACAATTATAGTTAAGCCAGGAAAGAAAGCTTGATCTCTGTTTGCAGGATTTTTAATCACTTGGTAAATCTTTTTCTTTCTAATCTAAGAATCGAGATCTTCCATCCTTTTCTATCTATGTTCAAACTGTTAAATCGATTTGGGAAAGTATAACTTGCTTATGAATATTTATCTTTATGTTGATTGTTTGTAGCACCATATTTGTGTAGTAAAGATGAGATTGTGCTGAACTGTCGTCATGTAAGTGTATGAACTTTGATATGTGTTTTGTCCGATGGAAATTATGAACAAAAACTGTATAGTAATTTCAATTATTTTCTTGGTTACTCTAGTAAAAATGATTTTAAATTTAGAGATGTGAGAGGGTTAATCGAACTAACACATCAACATAAAGACAATTCTATTAATAACTTACATATCTAAGGTCAGTTCTTAAAATACTTTTTTTTTAGAGGGGATTTGCTTAGTCTGTTGCCAAGCCAAACATCCAACTAACCGAGCACTGGTAAACACTCCACTGGCATGAGCATTATCAATCTATTTTCTTTTTGCGTCTACAAATTGAGAGAAAATCAGAATGTGAAAACAATATATTGCCTAAATAATAACTCAGGCCACTGACTATTAACATTAACTCTAACGATAAAGGTTAGAGATTGTCTCCAAAGTTACTTTGCCCATGTCGGTGATAAGTGTAGAGAAAAGTGACACTGTAACCAGTCACGGTTTCACTAAAAGTAGGGATCCTAGAGAAAGAAAAATGTAGGAGTCTTTTTTTTGGACAACAAATGTAGGAGTCTTTCTTTTGAAAACTAACATTTTGTTGAGAAATGGCCCCTCTTCCTTTACCACAAGTATTATAAAATAAACCTTTTTTTATGACTTTTATAACAAATCACAAATGTGATGTTCCCTGAACATGACATTACGTTTTGGACCGGATCTGCATGTAGGCTGTAACCCTTGTCAAGATGTAAGATGGGGCATTCTCTGATTCTAGCTTCACATACGGTTCATATGTATACTTCTTAGCCGTCATTGGTTTCTTCCATTTTTTCCTCAAATTCAATTCTAGTATTGTGAATTAGTTCTACCATTTGAGAAATATGTGGTCTTAACTATGTTATGAACTATCTCAATACTTATACAATTTATCTTGTCAAGCTTTTCATGTGGCAATTTTGTTTTTGAGACGGACTAGCAACAAAGTATATATGAATCTTACTGCAATAGTTTTGTTGTATCAGAAGAAAGAGTGAGAACCTTGGAATGCATTGCAAGAAACAAATCTTTACATGTCTGGTTGAAATTTGAAATGTTGTGTGATGTGGACTCACATGACGTCTGTGCCCACAGGATCCACAGAGAAATGAAGAGCTACTGATTTCTCTATGAACGGCTCAAATTGAGACCTCCACATCTGAAAGAAAAAAGAGTCTATATTCAAATCCTATGTCATACAATTGGAGAAGAAATCAAAGAGTAGGTTACAAGGTTCAAGTTCAGAAAAGATCTTACATCTTTATACTCTCTGCCCTCAACGAAAATCTCCATGGCATCAACTGCAAGAAGTGGCATATGCAAGAGTGAGAGGAGACCATCTCAGAAAAACACACTGTTGGTAAATTAGGAAAAGTGATTACAGGAACGGAATCGAACTACTGCCGCATGTGTGAATTCCTTACTGCTGTCATTAAAGTTTGAACCTGGACAAAAAGAACCGTATGAATGTCTAGAAGTATAGTTCCAAATGCAAAAAGTGCTCTTCTTCATAGGCACCTTGTGTGGACTGAACAATTAAGGATGGGAGAGATGAAGTTAGCTGTGCAAAAGAATCCATTGCATCTTTAATGTTCTTCTCTGAAGCGTTCTTGGCAAAAGTAACTAGAAGAACAAACTCTTCGCCGTAGTTGTATTCCTGCAACATGAAGTAACCTTCTGGCTCTAAAGATAAGGAGCTAAAGCTCAGAATATGAAACTGATCATAGGGTTTGTATGATTTAAACCTCGCCTTTTCGAAATATCGAAAGGATGTCATCTTCAACTTCTGATTCATAGTCCACATTAGTTAGCCCCTGATACATCAATGACGAGACATCTAAGTAGAGAAGAACAACAACAAGAAGAAGGCTAGAGAGGTCACAGCTAATGAGAGGAATGGCGTTTTACATGTGAGGGGGCATACATGGCAGAATGGTGTTACATGTTCACTAAGAACTTTCAAGAAGAGAGGGTTCTCGTAGAACTTCTCAAGGTCTTCTTTCCTCTGGAACCGCACAAAGAGAGCGTGCGTGTAACCTTCACTGTTTCTATCACCAATACTACCTGTGAGAGTAAATTGAATCCATAAAGACTGGTTTTTTATAATAAACACACAAGGGGAAGAGTACTGTTAGCCTCACCTACAGAGATAGCGACGATGCCTCTCATTTGGTACTGACAAGTGTAAAGATAATCAAGCATATCCTTTTCTTTCTCTTCAGACAAACTCTCTTTGGCTTTGAGTAAACTCACATGCTCAACTACTTTCCTACATGTCATAAACTTTCTCAAGAACTTCAGACACATGCATAGGCCTTTCACACAAGGAGCTAAAACTGTAAAAGAAACCTTGTCTGAATGGTCTTGGAACTGGAGATTTGATCATCACCAGCAGCTGAAAAAGCTAGTACTTGGTTCTTTGTTCGTGATTGATGGAAAAACACGTCTCCATTAGACCCAAATCCTGCAAATTTCAAGAAGAGAAAAATCTCACATTGGTCACTAAAGGATTGTTTATTTGTGCATTTGTCAGATTTTAAGTCGAAATTGACGCAATCCAGCGAGAGAAATCGAATTTTAAATTTTTAAGTCGAAACTAAAACTTTATACCTGTACTGAGATGAGGCAAACGAGGGAGAGCTAAAGCTTGATGGATCATCTTTGAGGCATGTTTTGCTCTTTATCACTTTAAAAGACCTTTAAACCCTATAGGATTTTTTTTTATTATTATTAAGTTTGTCATAGCGAACAGCAAATTAATAACCACCACAAACTCGCAAAAAGTCTCACCACAAAGTGGAAAAATCCAGTTCTATTTTCCTAAGAGTCAAATACCCTGTTTGAAAAAGAGAGTCTTAAGTTCAAAAAGAATAAAAATGATCCTGGCCATAATTGTAAACTGAATTCTCTTTTTTTTTTAACTTAGGTAGGAAAAATAGTCTATTTTGACCGAGACAATTTTGATCCTGCCAAATAAAACTCAATCTCACATTAAAACTAGATTTTAATTCGCGCTTTAAAAGTACGAGATTAACTTGTAATTTAATAATTTATATAAAAAATTATAATTTATTTATTTTAAATTTTATATAATTATAAAAATATATGTCTAATTTATTTATCTTATTTTCTTAAGTGAAATTTTTTTTTGAAATTATTCCTACATATATTAAAAGTAGTTTATTTATTTAAAATAATTTATGTTGATTTTATTTTAATAATTTAAATTCAAATAAGATAATTATATTCTTTACACTCTTGTCTCAATTAAATTTAAAAAAAAAATTCATTCAAAATTATGTTAAAGGTTGGTTCAGTGCGTCTTGTACTTTTTAAAATCATAAATTTACTTAATTTTTATAATAAAAAGGAATATAACAATATATATATATATATATATTAAAACAAAATATTTTAAATGTTTTATTGAAATTTAATCTTAGAATTAATATGCAGAAGGCTCTTTTCATTATTTTATTTATAACAACTAAAATACAATTCGAATAAATATAGAAGTATTCAAAGTAGTAGATATTTCTTCAATTTCAAATAATTCAGCTAATTGAGTAAAATGAAATATAATACAAATAAAAGTAATATATAACATCTATGTATATATAGTGTAACTATAACTAATTATTAGACATGAAAAATGAAATTTTATTGTGTAAAATATTTGTTTCAATTTTGTAAAAGCATATCTTAGTAAGATAAAGTGACTATGATTTGCATAGATAAATTTAGCTTTATGATGTTATTAGTCATAACATAAATAATGATTATACACCAGTAACAAATGTTTTGCTTAAGTAAACGAGTAATGGCCCATTTTTTCTATTGATAACAATATATTATTTTTATATGTAGACGTGATATCTTGATTTTTTTTTAGTGAATTGTTACCCATTTTTTTAAGAGAAATTTTCTAAGATATACCTAAAAAAAATTTGTCACAAATAAAATTTTTTTAAAAAAATAAACAAAATAGACTTAAATGTTTTATCAAAAATAAGTAAATATACACTTATATCCTTTGGATTAACTAATCCTATAATTTTTTTGTTTAGAGTTGAGGAGTGGGGTTTTGGGGATACGAATTCAAATTTTTAAAAATATAAGAAACTTAAAATTTTTAAAATAAAAAATATTATATTGGTCATTTTAATTTTTGCGGTTTGTTTATGAGATAAAGCTCAAAAAGGTTTATTTGAGAGAACTGTTCTTTGGATTAACTAATCCTATAATTTTTTGTTTAGAGTTGAGGAGTGGGGTTTTGGGGATAGGAATTCAAATTTTTAAAAATATAAGAAACTTCAAATTTTTAAAATAAAAAATATTATATTGGTCATTTAATTTTTGCGGTTTGTTTATGAGATAAAAGCTCAAAAAGGTTTATTTGAGAGAACTGTTCTTTGTTTAATTAATGAATAAATTTGTTGCTCGGAGATTTTGTGAATAATGTATAATTCGATTAGATATTATTTAAGAATATTTTCTTTTAAAGTTAGAATGTTTTAGGCAATGTTAATTTAATTTATTATGCAGAAATAAATGAGGAATATGTATATTGTGGGAACCAAAATTCACCTACTGTCAAGATTACGTAAATATGGGAACTTAGAGTAAATCCTAATTTCCCAAACGACCCGGCTATCTGCGGAACCGCTCAAGAACAATCAAGAACGCGATTGATATTAATTAGCTAAAGAGATGTAAAAAAAAATGAGATTGAGAACGAAAAGAGTCTTATTCTGAATCTGCGTAAGAACAGTACAGCCAGAGTGAGCCTTAGCCACGTGAGCCGTCGGCGAGATCCTAACCCTAGCAGTCTAAGACTAAAACCCTAGTTGAGGCGCAGCTCGAAAACAAAAAACGGAAAAAACCCTAAGTGCTAAGTTTCTGGTGGTGAAAGCTCTCGAAAATCTCCCCTTGCTTGTATCCTCTGCCTTTTGCTTATATACTCCCCTCCTAGGCGGTTTTGGTCCTTCATTTTCGCTCAGATTCGAGTTTATCGGGAATCTTCCATTTATCTCGATCTTTCCTTTTTCTGTGCGGAAATCTTCTATTTATCTTCAAACGTGACATTTATCTTCTTTCTGCGAGTAAATCCTAAAACCGTCATTGTATTTCTGGGCTGGATTTCGCTTAGAGTCGCAAGTGGGTTTTTACCGCGCTTTCAGGCGAACTGGTCTGTGGGCCGCCAGCTCGCGGTACGGCAAGTTGGTCTGTGGGCCGCCAGCTAGCCGTACGGCGAGCTGGTACGGGATCGACCAGTTCGCCATACGGCGAGCTAAACTGGCTGGCTTGGCACGTCGTACACTGAACCAGTTCAATCGAACCTGCTCGCAGTTTACGGAGGCTGCGGTTTTTCGCTTATCTTGGGAAATCGTGTAATCGGCAATTGCTTCGTTCGTCCTTTCGAGACGACGATTTCCAAGTTTTCCGTGGATTTCCTTTGTTTCAGAAAGTCTCTAAAATTTTATAAAACAACTTCTCAAGTTTTATAAAACGTATTTTTATTTTGCGGAAAGTTTTGGTCATTGATTCCGTCGTACCGATTTTGACCCTAACAATTAGTCCCCCAGCTCGTAAGAATCATGGAGTTCTTGCGAGTGGTTTGAACTTGTTCAGTAAGTTTGGTAGAATTAGGCGGAACTTTAATGGCCAATAGTCCAAAGGTGAATAGTAAAACTCTCTCCTATAAGTATATGGAGTAAATTTTCAAATTTGTTACTCACTCTTTTCCATAACTTATCTAAAATTCAAGAAGTTTTCTCCCTTCCTGTGGATCTCTTTCTCTCACTTTTCCAAACATGTTTTTGAAAAGGAGAACTCGCAGCCCCGAGTCAAAATTTCGAAGGAGAAACTTTTGTTTCTGTTAGTTGACTCGAGAGACCATGAGGCGTATTGGGCGATTGGAGGCGAGTTGTTACCTACTAGACCTGGAACCTTGGTCCCACCTCCGTTCGATGCCAACCCTATTCTCGGCTGTCCGAGTTTGGTTTGACCCAATGGTCTTGAATCCGTTTGGGAGTTCTTCCAGGTTCCAGAGGCGGTTGAGTTTCGCCTTCCTTTAGTTGGAGAAAGTGATAAAATTGCGCCTGGCGGTTTCTTTACGTGCTACGACATGTTTCTAATGCAATGTTATTTATGGTTTCCGATTCCGGAGATCATTGTTCGATATCTTCACAGTCTTGGGTTATCGATCAGTCAACTGAACCCACGCAGCTTGCAACAGCTTGTCGGTCTCTTGACGTTGAGTTACGAGTGGGGAATAACCCTTAGCGTAGATCATCTCGAGGGTTTACTAAGACCCGAGGAGACGACAAATAGGATTAACTTATTGCCTCGCAATGAAATAGTCACTGGTTGCATGTCAAACTACCCCTCTTGGAAGAAGAACTTCTTCTATGTTCGTATTGACAGTGCATCAGTAGAAGAGGACTGCATTCCCTTCTTTGTGACCACGTGGGGTCGGAAAGGTATGTAATCCGAGCGCGTACGATCATAATTTTTTTATTCATTTTCGCAGAGACCAACCCTCTGCCTCCGTTCCCAGCGGATCTTCCGATCGTTACTGCTTCGCTTCAAGAGGGGGAAAGTAGCTGGAACAGATTTTCTCCGCAGCGTGTACATCATGCGGTCACCCTTTTTCGATATCGGCTCTCTGTAGACTCTCTGGTTTTCGAAGAGGATCCACTCATAGGAGAATTTGTTCCATACACGGCCCCAACGAGGAGGAACAAATCAATATCCCGGAAGGATAAGAACGTGGTTGCTGATGACGACGCATCCGTCCGTGCCGCTTCTCCTGAAAACATACTCAAGGATTTCCTTGACAGTCAGGTGAACGAGGGCGTTTGGGCACATGCTGGTGGATCATCGGCTTCTAATTTTTCGGATGGCGATTCTGGCTATGTTCTGGAGTTTGCCAAAGCATACGAGCAAGCTGATGAGGTCTGTTCTATTTTCAATGATCTATGATCGAATAGTTTTACTTATCCTGTTGTCTTTCTTTTTCGTAGGGCCTTCTGATCATGAGCCGAGTCCTGAATGATCGGAGCACCGAAGCCCGTCTTGCCGAGTTTCGCGCGGACATGGCAGAGAAAGAAGTTGCTCGTCTTCGGGCAGAAATCGATGCCAACCCTCCCGAGGAAAGCGCTGAAAGGGAGGTTGCTCGTGTGAGGAGCGAATATGCGGCTAACTCTGGTCGTGCTAAGGAGCTTTCTGATCAGACAATTTGTCGCGCTCGCCGTGCAGAAAAAAGAGAGGTTGCTGAAGAAGCGAGGGTTCGCAGTGAGCGGCTTGCGACCAGCTATTCGAACGTAGAGGTTGCTCAACAGGCAAATGGCGATTATCTCGAGTGTCGCAGAGTCGTTCATGGGTTGTCCCTTACTCAGAACGAGGGTTACTCGTATCCCGAAGTGTATTCCGAGTAAAGGGAGCGTTTGGATAAGAAGAGAGATATGCATCCCGAACTCTTTGACTTTAGGGCGCGAATGTGGGAGCAATGGACTCCTATTGTTGTGTTGCCGGACTCAGTTGAGGTTGGACCAGAGATTCCAGATGCGAGTGGCGAGGCTGATCAACCGTGGGTTGATGCTGGTATTGGCCAAAACTCGGCATCCGGATTTCATGATTTTGATGTATGATGTCTTTGTTTTATGATATTGCTGT